AACAACATGTTGCTGTGCAGTTTGTTTTTAACTTTTCAACCAAAAAAGTTTTTTCGGTTGTCAGAGAGTAATTTAAAAGGTTTTCAACCAGCCATGAGGGTGACGTTGGCGCATAACAACTTCACATCAAGATAGGGCTTTTCATCATGCTACCTCGTTTATTGTCAAGTCATTATCACTGAAACCGACATTTTTACGGCAGGCAATCCTACTTATATTTTCACACTAATACTGACAGAAACTCTCTGCTCTAATTTGGTACGCAAGCTTGGCAACTTTACGTCCATTTTACTCTCACACGCGCACGTACGCGCCGTATGCGTGTTGTTTTTAGTATGTTCACGCTGAGAAAATGTAGCCAGTGTTTGTCGATACTTCCTTACAAAAATTCACGTGTACCAAATTAGCTAGATTCTGTAAATTCTATCCTAAATCGAAAATTCGTGGGATTCAATGGGCGGGGGGATTTGTTAGCTTTGGAATAATACAGCTATTCTCAACCATTAAGACTACCGTCGGAAGGCTTTAATGATAATCCTTGAGAAAGAAAAATGCTCTGGGGAACTCAATGCACAAGAAAATCAAAGCTGTTACTAATGCGCAAGGGAGATGATGAGAATTTTTACTTTAATTTTTGGGGGTATCGACATATCAATTTCATTAACTCAGGAATTATCAGTCAAAGTCACACAAGATTTCGGTTACTTGTTGTTTAAAGTTGAATTATAATGTTTGATAACAATACTGGAAAACATATTGGATATAAAAGTTTTAATTTTATTCTAAAGTTTATTATGCGTTTCTTTTTCCTTTCAGTTTACTTCATAACATTATTATTTTTAAACATTTCGTGCAGTTAAAACAAATAAAACAATTGGGAACGCATTGATGTATGAGAAAATTCAATAAAATATTAAAATCCTGCATCCTTTCTCCTATTATTTTTACCTGGCGATATATGACAACAGTTAATGAAATACTAAAAGACCGGCATCCTTTTTCCTATAACATTTACCTATTGTCAAAATCAGATGATTTATTAAACGTATATAATGATTATTTCCTTTATTATAAAATCCGCTTTCATGGATTCGTGTAAGGATGGGCGCAGTTTTGGACCAGTTTTGAGCTATTGGGTTTTTGCAAAGGGATAGAATGCTTCGAGAATATAAATTATTTAGTTTTAAATAAATAAGAGATCTTAATCATCGGTAACAGAATTTTTTCAACTTGAAATCTAAACAGAAAGGTGGCATTTATAGCTATAAAAAGATATTTATATTTCCTTTGCACAATGGTTTGATAGTACAACCGAGGACTTACACACTATATCTCTATGCTTCTGACAGTAAAAAGGCTGCACGTCAGTTGGTGCCACATAACTAAAAAGCATCAACACTGCAAACATTAAATTGAATGAAAACATTCATCACAATGTTTTTGATTCTGCTGTGAAAAATGTCTTGAAATACAAACAAAAAGGCGATATTTATTGCTATGACACGATGGGTTCATTTTATAAATTGTATTTCAGAAGAATTGTCTACAAGTGGTAATGCAACAGATACATATACTCATAGTTCACTTTCTAGGGAGAAACTTCTTCGAAATCATATGTTAATTTTGAATGTTTTTGATATTCCAAACAACCAATGTGAATTTGAAATACCATATGGATATATATTGGATTCCGAAACTTCATTAAGTCGATACATTGCGGGTTCCAGTGAATGTCCAGGAAAGCCTCTCTCTCTACCCTTCACTACGTTTTTAGGAGAGGAGAATTTTAAGAGTACTATGCAATAATATATTCAATAAGTGATGTAATTCAGATGTGGATACTTCAAAATTCCAAAGAACATTTGGAAAATATTAAATAACAATTTTACCATGATCAGCAGCTAAAAAACTTTCGACCTTTTATCACAACCTTCTACACAATAAATTTACGTCCAGGCTTTTTTATAACGTTGACAGCTGCTTTTTAAATAAAAATGGAACTCGTAAATGAACTTACCTTGTCATTCGTCATTTGCAAAATTATGTTATTAAAAAACATTCTAATTATACAAAAAAACCCTCGGAAATTGACATTTAAAAGATGCTTGCGGAAGAACACGTGACGTAGTTTAGTCACGGTGTAAAGTAAGGAATGAATTACGTCGACCTGTGATTTATACGCTTAGTCGTTTTTCCAAAACTTTGATGGGTTTAAAAAAAGTTTGAAGTTTTCGAAAGTATAGGCCCTTAAATTAGCAAGGAGGAGAGGAAATCACAGCATAATTCAACCCTGGTATTGAGAGTCGCTGAAGTCACTGGAGCGTGACCACAGATGTTCGAATTCGCTATTCATGATTGCTTGCGGTCAATTACTGGTAAATTGGACAATTACAGGATTTTACAGCAACCAGTAATTAATATAAATCGAAATCTTTGGGTGATGATGGGTTAAAGGAACGTATAAAGTACATCGACTTATCACTTATTATTGTTGATAAAACAAGAATCGGCAGTCTCGGTGCACGTCATCATTTCGTAAGTTCTATGGTCGATAGAATGGTATTATCAGCAAATGCAATTTATCATTGAGTCAAATACTGACTGACGTTTTTCATCCTTATTGTAATTTCATTAACTATACACTGAATTGACGATGAATTTTCCCTTATTTCCTGGTCATGACAAACAGCACACCTTTAATGTTTTTGAGGTCCGTGTTTACTCTGCTCTAATTTTGTATTGTTTAATGGACTTTTGATCTTGAATACTGTACATTATCTGCATATGTTATATTCATACTATATATTTCCTAGCTAGATGATATGCTGTATGATAAAGTGTAATAGTGGTTAAACATATTTCTTCTTGAAATGAACATACTTTCCTAAATCTCTCTCTCTCTCTCTCTCTCTCTCTCTCTCTCTCTCTCTCTCTCATTTGTCTTTTTAATAAAATATATGGCAGCATATAATTACTTTTTAGTTATGAAAGTCTTATCTATTACAAATAAGTTGAATGCTTCTTTGCATCATCTTGTCTGAGTATAATTACGGCCGGGAAATGTCTACATATATAACAGACACATATATACATTTAGAACTAAAAATAATCATAAAATTAAAAGGACACATAATTATATATGATACGATTGCATTATTTTTTTTTAAGATACTAGAGTTAAAATGCAAAGCGTCCACAGACCTTTGTGAATTTTATTATTTTTCATTATTTTACACGGAATCGCATAGGCAAGGAAATATATGTATGTTGAAACTGTGGTAATTCATTCTATAACTCAATTATAGTTTTCTCGTCTAATTTTATTAATCAAAAGAATAAACATATTTATTTTATAACTACCCTGTAGATTTATTTTTATACTATAGCGTTCGGTAACACTTACACATGACATGTTTTACAGCAATAAAACTCTTATTTAAAAAATGTTGATTTTAAACATTATAGCTTTATACAAAAAAATCTTTAAGAAACTATAATCAATATTTTTAATTACTTAATGTATACGTATCGTTTTTCTAAGAATAATTTTTTCAACATTTATTTTGATTAGATAATTATTTATTCATTTATCTTTTTATTGTTTGTTTATATTATACCAACTGACATTTAAATTCAACAGAATAGTTTCAATGCAAAGAAAACATCAGAGGAATTCCAAAGAAATCGATCATCTTGCGTTCATCGTCCATTTTGCGCTTGCGTTTGCGCTTCGTTCGCGTTCTGCGTTCGCTCACCATTCACCGTTTACACAACGTTCACCAAGGTGCATTCATCGTTCACTGACCGTTCGCTCTGCGTTCGTTCACTGTTCGTTCAGTGTCAAGTAGCGAAGAAGAACGCGTTTAAGATACTCTAAATCAAAGTTTTCAAAGTGTTAACTTATAGTGTCAACGTTATCACTTTTGTATGTAAAAATTTTTAAAGTTATCATTATATATGATCATAGTTATTGCTAATAGTAAATCAAAATGTTCATACAGTCAAAGTTATCACTATTGTTTACTATAGTTAAATAATAAAATAATCAAATCTACTATAGTTAATAATAGTATTTTATTTATTGTGTTAGGATAAACATCAAATTTTGGGTATGTTAGCACTGGAATGCATTACTAGTATATGAAATCAAAGTAATACAAGGCAATATTCAATATGTCGAAAAATTTGCATTACATATAATGGTAATGAAAAGCTTTACTTCGATAAGTCTTTTGCAATTGTTATCCTGTTTGATATGTACGTTTTGGTGCATATGCAATATCTTCTTTTGTAACATTCGTGCTCTGTACATTGTAGCATCCGATATGTGTAATTTTGATTGAATTCTAAAGTTTACGTTTTGTTACATGCGTTATATGTACTTTTTTGCATTAATGTATTTTTCAGTTGCATGCTCGATGTGAACTTTCGGCTGCATGCTCCATATGAGCTATTAGTTGCATGCCCTATATGAACTACTGGCTGCATGCTCCATATGAACTATTGTTTGCATTGGTTGCATGCTCGATGTGTACCTTATTTGCATGTGTGTACTTTTGTTTGCATGTAAAATATTTTCTTTTCTTTTACATTCATAACGTGCATTTTTTATAGCATAAATGATGTATACTCGAGTACTTCGATAGCATACATGTAAAACACTTGAACTTTTGGTAGCACCGTACATATAAACGTTTATTTACAGGGAAAGACAAGCTATGGACGAGAACTCTTACGTTCCTTATCTCATTGAGTTTCAAAAGAGATCTAGAGAGAGAGAAAAGAAGTTGATGTGACTGAACTACATACAGAAAAAAAATGAATTGCAGCGATCTGAAACTTGTTTGATTTATTGAGTAGTGTGCTATTATCTATAAGTCATAAGTAGAATAAAATACTAACGTAACAAAGAGCAATCATAAGAGTTAAATAGTTTAATTTTAAATACATAAATTATTATTATTTTAGATATATATACGTACATATACATGTAACATTAAAAATTGTGCAATTATCTTATTAGAAATGTTTACACTGATTTTTTAACAAGTCTCTGGAATTCTAACAAAGAGCTACACTGATTCGTCACTCAAAGTAGAAGCAGTCAAGTAGAAATCCAATATACAACACAAATGGTTTCAAATCTCATCAGAGGCATCGGTCAGTTAACATATGTTAGTGGTTAAATTATATAATCAACCTCTATTTTAAGTTCATATGTCCTAAATTTTTCGTCTTAATTTACTTCTGCCTTTTTCTGTGTCCATGTGGGGAGCCCTTTGGAGAGGAATATGGCGGAGGGAATTCAGAAAAGCCCTTAATTGAGAGAAGAAAATTAATGTATGGTGTTATACGAATGATACGTGACAAATATTCACGTATGTTTAAATAAATCTGAAATTTTAAATCAAGGACGAACAGATCAAGAAAGGATTGACTAGAATAAAAAGTATGTTAGCTTTTTATCATATGCATTTCTCAGTCATACATCCAGCTTTCTAGAACCTACAACCTGATTATACACGTGTAATCGATTGGTATCTAAACTATGCATATTTTTCATGTCAGATAGACATCCAGCTATCTAAATCCTACATCATGATTATACACGTGCACTTCCCTGGTATCCACACTATTTACCATGCCTGATACACACCCAACTATCTAAGCCTTTCAATTTGACTTATATTTGTACTTCCCGGGTATCCATACTATTTACCATGTCAGATATACATCCAACTACCTAAAACATACAATCTGACCACATACATATACCATATACATCTCTTTCACAGTTTTAATTCTGCACACACATACGCACAGTCGCACACCCAACATTCTAATTATTATATCTTTCATGCTGACTTTAAACTTTTTACAATGAAACCTTTCGACACCCATCCTGTCCACACCTTTGTCGCTGTCTACTACTTGGACGCCACTCTTTCTGTTCTTTTACAACTTAACGTTACGTGCACTTTACCTTGCAATATTTACATCCACTATATTTTCTCCTTTATTTCTTAAGAAAACCCATTGCGTTAATCACTGCATGAACTACATTAGGCATGTCGCCTGTACAGATTTCTTGATCAGTGGCTGTTCCATCAATGAAACGTATAAAGACGTTCGCATCATTAATACAATAATTAAATTTTTTAATCCTTCTTTAAATGATTCTTTAAACAGATATAAATATAAACAATAAAATTTACGCGGGTTATGTATTTTTTCTGCAACAGCTGCTTCCGTTAATTCCAGTAATAACAAACAAAGAAAGCATTTTATTGTTTAATTAACCCACTTTATTACTTTTTATATTCTTCCCTGCTTCAACTCTTATCCTGTTAACCTAACGTCCAGCTTACCTTCCTGCGTCGGTCGTACTCAAACTCTCGCAGTGGGAGGTTCTGACTATATACCGGTATGTTGGGATTGGTACTGGGAGTATCATAGGATAATCCTTTTATGAAGATTCCCATAAATATAATCACACCAATCCCTATCAGAATAGTGGCCCACCAATGTTCCTAAAATCAAAAATGATAAACAGAACAAATTAAAATTTTAGTTGTAAAACGTCATTTGATTGGATAAAATATTGCCTATGTCATATAACATAAGCTGCGTACGTAACAATGAGTAACGTCAAGAATGTTTTACTTCGCTCGACTTTACATCAAAATATGCTCAGTTTGAAGTTTTATAAAACACAAAGTTATGTTATGTCGTATTACACAAGTTGAAATAAACTTCATTCCGTACGTAACATTTTAAATATACAGAAGCTGTCTAATCTGACATCTGTGAATTCCGTATCACTCTGATTATTTTTCCTTTTCTTATTTGATGCCTTTTGTAACGTTTTCCGTATTCTTGTCACTGTTCTCTGACATCATGCTTGACACACAAGGTGTCCCAGAGAGGTTCAATTTCTGACCAGAAAGCTCTCTCTGTTTGCACATACCCCCCTCCTTCATTTTTATGTATGGAGACCGCTGTATAATAAAAGTTGCAAGTTAGTGAAAAAAAGGATGTTGGGTGAAAAGAATATAGGTTAAGAAATAATCTTGTTTAGTTTATTAGAGAAAATGCCTTCTTTTTTCGTATTCTTAATAATGATTGTATATGCCTTTTATCAGTGACCAATATTTAGGAAGGCATACAAAATCCTGTCAATTGTGCTAGCTGTAACCCAGTTTCTGATGTCTGTCAATGTAACCTTATGGTTGTTACCTGTACTTAATATAACAAAGTTTTTTTTAATGTCGGCTAATGTCTTTACTATACTGTTGCACTTACTATTATCCAGTTTTTGATATTGGCCAAAGTTTCCTCACTGAACAAGAGGTTTGTCAATCTCCTTAAGGGTCCTTCATCACTCATTCCTCGGCATCGAGAGAATACGCCACAAACACCCGCGTAATCATTACAGACTGCACCTGAATATTAATAAACTCTATTGGTTACGTGGTTATTTGAACTTAAATGTACAGTAAGGTTCTATGATACTTTTTAAATAACAGGCTGAAAAAGAATCCTGGAAAAAGTACATACAACACACCAATGGGATTTTTTTGTTTTACTTAGTACATACTGGAATTTATAATCTCTCTCTCTCTCTCTCGCCCGGCTCTTTCTCTCTCTTTCCCACGCTCTCTTTCTCTGTATCCATATCTTTCTTTGTGTCTCTCTCTGTATTTCTCTCAGTGTTTGACATCTCTCTGCCCTAGTCTCTGTATACATATCTGTTTCTGTCTTTCTCACGATCACTCTATCTGTCTCTTTGTTTCTCTACCGTACTCTGTCTCTCTCTACCTCGCTATTCGCTATGTCCCTCTTTCTTTCTTTCTCTCTCTCTCTTTCTCTCTCTGCTTTTACCTGCTGGCATTCGCACTCCGCCTGTAGAATTTTTCATCCTGTTGACTTCATCTATAAAAGTCTTGAATTCTCTAGACTCCAAACGGTGTTGATCGTTATTTGATTCATAGCACTTAGAGGAAGTATTATGTCCTAAATCAAGGAAGGTGTTCATTAAAAGATTAAAATAACTTCTGAAGCCTAGTTCATGTATGAGTCGAATAAGGCTATGAATGCTAGCGCACCTCATGAAATATGCCTTTTAGACAAATCCGTGAGATTTATACACCGATAATCACATAAAACTTCAAAATAAATTCCTTGACTTTTTTGCAGCATGAAAAAATACCTCTGCATCTTCTAGATTAACGTACAAAATGCAAAATAATTTGTAAATGTATGATTCATAAAAAAAAACATTACAGTGAGCTATTTTGATCATTTCATAATTTTGATACATTAAACAATTATCCTCCATATTATCCCTTCTTTTTTTAGTTGTCTCAATAGCAAAAAAGGGAAAATCAAAATAAGAAAAATTATAAAGTTATACAGGACGAACCTTTTCTCTCCCATCTACAACTCCAAAATTTAAGCGAACTAGCCAGTATAAAGAAAATTTTAGTCTTTAGCTTACTACAGGCCAAATAACACAGTTCCACTCTGTCCTCCGCTGTAAGATCTCCTGTCTTTCTGACGAAGCATTGTTCCCACCTTGAAGTGTAAAAACTGTTAATTCTTAGACACAGGGAGCCAGAACAAAACTGAAATAAAACAAAGTATGACGTCAGTATAAAGCATAAAGCCAGGTACACTGAGAGACAATCTGGTCAGTCTACCATGGTAATAAGTCTTAGTTATGTTTATTCTTATATTAGAGAGATACTGAATATTACGTAAGTATGCTGAAACGCAAAGGAAAACAGCATCCTTTTTCAGAAGAAAATATTTTATATAAGATATAATTTTGTACCTAGAATGTATGGACATTTCAAACTCGGTAAATTAAAGGTTAATCAATGCATTAACAATATATTGATTGTCTCTATAAATATTAGGCGTGTTTCTATGGTCGTCCTTTACCTAGCTACTTACCACGCACATATAGTTAAGTAGATATAAATTTCAGTTCCCCCTAAAATACAATTTGAATAATGAACCATATAAATAAAGACAATGTCAGCAGGTACCATTACATAATGATCATTTGATCTATCTTAATCCTTTTCAATTTTGAATAATAATAACACACAAGGAAAGTTCGTTTTCACTTTTTGATTATCTTTTAACTTTAGAAAGTACCACAAGATTGTTAAAACATATCTTCTATCGCCCAATCAATAACAACATGCAAGACCACCATGAACAACTATTGCAAGTTGATGTCTACGATGCTTTATGTTTATCCCTTTTTGGAAATCTGAGCGAATTTTTTTTTTCTTTTTTTTTTTTGCATTTTGTGACATTTTTAAATGCCTCCTGTTTACATGAGGTCAAATTTTCTTTAACCTCGAGGAGTGTATAGGAAGTCTTGGAATTCCAGTCAACGGACTGTCATTATTTCTTGTATATCATACGTAATAGCCTTAAATCAGAGGTAGGGTCAGGTGACATGGAGGAGTGAGCATCCCTTGCCGACAGGTCACACCCTCCGTGTGGCCCTTGTCATGATTTGGGGAAAAATGGGAAAATCACAATTTGGTGTGTAAAGAATGGTCTACCTATTCGTACGAAAAGAGTCAATCAGTATTTGATTCAAGTATTATACATAATTATTATTATACTTACCCCGTTAAGACAAACTTGGGAGAAATCATCACAGAATGTCAAGTCTGGTTTCTTCTTTGACCCAGGACAAGTTGATGAATCCCCAGTAATCGATCATTAAGAAAAAATACATTGGTGCGTATCAAAATGTTTGAAAATATGTCTTTGTATTTGAAAATAATTATACATTGACACAACTTTATATTTTCAAGTTTTACAGATAATGCTTGTGTAAATTGACAAAAACCATATGAAAATAAAAGTTATTTTTAGCTTATTCTCTACATCAAAGATATTCAATACTTATTTGATTTAAATCATATCAGTTATATAAATCCGTACTTTGTTTACTTTTTTCAGTAAATTAAAAAGAAACAAAAAAGCAATATACTCAGCACATTTCCATGTTCAATAGCACTGCTTACGTGAATTTATATCATTTTAAGGATATGTGCAATTTTGTGCCTTCAGACATTCTGTTGAGGATCGACATTGTTTGTCAGTGCCCCAAAACCCACATTCAGATGAACAACACGCTCCTTGGCTAGGACTGTGGTTAAAGGAAATAAGAATATCCTATAAATTAACAGATATGTAATAAATATCTAACAGATGAAAAATTGGTTATTTACCGTTTGAATATGTACCTGCAATTATATTTTTCATTGGTCATTTGGTTGATTTTCAGTGTACAGGCATTACTGTCAGAGCCAGATGTTTGCTGTGGGTTACAGCATTTATCAGTACAGTCTGTATCATAGCCACAGTCGCACTCCTCCCCTTTTTCTACCATTCCATTACCACAGAACGCCATGTTAGACTCTACCGAATAATTTAATGTGAAGATGAAGGTCATTTATTATGAATCTCAAAAGTCAAAATTAGAACAAAATCAATTGAGAAAAATACAATCACAAACGCCTAAAACTTAAGAGGTGGAATCAGATACTAAGAAGATTAATGTCAGTACGGATCAATCTCTAGCAGTTCATTATAAAAAAATATTCCTGGTATATTCTGTTAAAAAACGTCAGTCCTTTTTCGAACTTTCTTTGTATAAAAGTGCAGGGAACTAATTTTGTTACAGTATCGATGCTGATTTGAAAGGTTCCTATAATTGCTGATTTGAAAGGTTCCTATAATTGCTGATTTGAAAGGTTCCTTTAATTGCTGATTTGAAAGGTTCCTTTAATGGCTGATTTGAAAGGTTCCTTTAGTTGCTGATTTGAAAGGTTTCTTTGCTTGCTGATTTAATGTTAGTTATCCTTATCTTGACGCTGCCGGAAGTAGCACCATGCTACCAGAAGGAGATTATTAAATTTCATTTAAAGCAATAACTGTTCCTTATATAATTATTAAAACATAATAGTTCACTTTGTATAAATAATTCGAATACTTTAATAAGTTATTTCCCTTGTTTTCATTCTTTTATAGACCACCTTTGGTTGCTGATGCTGATCCTGGTAATATGCTTTCTTTTTTAAATGTTGATCCTGATGCTAGCTGGATGCTGATGCCACTTTTGCTTATGCTGAGCATACAAATTTAGTTCCTTGCATTGCACTTTATATAATTTGAGTGGAATTTTAGGTCAAATTCTGTTCCTCATCTCTACATTTCACTGTCATTGCAAATAAGGCCATTTTATTAAGTGCAATTTTTTTTTAGTTTTCGATATAATGCGTTGTAGAATAAAGATGTCATACTACTAGTTTATGTTCTCGGGAGGATTGATTGATTGATTGCTGTAAGTTACGTCCAATTTGAGAGTTGTTCACTCATTCAGAGATGCGCAGGAGTGTTAAGGCAATATTCAGAATATTCTAACTTGATAAAATGATTGTTTTGTGAAACATTACAACGTAGTAGTAGGCGAGATAACGTCAATTTTAAAACACAAGTTGTCATGATATTGCAATTTAGAGATGTAATTTAACTTCAGAAAATGATTAGAAACATGTAAACACTAACACAAATTAAATGTTTTTATTTTAAAACACAGACCTCCGAATCATCAGAGGTTGGATCAGGTACCATGGAGAGTGAGCATCCCCTGCCTATCAATTATTTTTGAATTCGAATTAAAAGTGAGGAAGAATATGTAAATAGTTACAAGATCTTTGTCTGTAACGTGTTGCTAAAGTAGCATATTTAAATTTTTAAATATAATTTTTTTAATGGCTTTATGTTTTTCCTTCAATATGGTCTTTTTGAAATTATTTAACATCAAGTTCTGAGCAATGTTCTTGGTCTATTGTTTTAAAGGTATAAGCATCTACAGTATTTTTAGAACAATAACATGCTTCAATCAAAACAATTTATAAATGTATTTGAATTTTTAACTTACGTGTAAAGCAGTTGTACTTTCCATTCCTCTTATTAACAACAGCAGCGATGACATCAGTAAAGATATTTTTAGAACAGAGAGAGAAGTCGTCGTTGTTTGGGAGATTTCCCTTTGTGGCGCTTGCGAACATGATATAGTTTCCTTGGTCAGGCGTGGTTTGAGCACACGTTTTACCGTCATCGTGCTAAACAGAATACTATAATTATTTATATCACAGCTTCTAAGAAATAACTGATTTATTTTTACATATTTTATATAAACGTTTATATTAGAATTCATTAACGTTTTAAAAATTAAATTAAGGAATTCTTCTGCTGAAATTTGTCAAATTTTAGAACAAACTAAAAACATTCACTGTAAAGAACCTTGTATGCACAAAAGTAAATTATACATATTTTGGGGGATATTTACAAACTAATGTGTGTAAAGGTGTTAATATTGTGTCTAGCTTTTGCATTTTTAAGATAGAGCACCTTGCCTTTACCCCAAGGAAAAAAAAACAAAGACAAAAAAATACTGGTGAACAACTATTTACTTACGTGGATAAAATGCCCGAAAATGAGGAGTACAATCATTTAATCTTGGACTATCAAAATGTTATGAATGCTTGATTTGATCCCAAATTAGTAATAATCTGTGCATTTCATTTAATATATGTTTTTCTTTATTAAAGAAAAAATAACTCTTTCTGGATAAAATACCACAAGTCAAATTTAGCCCGCAGTGTATAAAGGGCTCGTTAGAGGTATATAATCAATAAAATTTTCTTCAAAAATAAAGCTATAAATTGTTGTAATCTTCTTTAACAATACCATTTAGGTGTATACAATGTTCAAAAAGATCCAAATTAAAGTAAAGGTGCTTTAATAACAGAAATAACCAAATAAGAAAGAATATATCGGTACGCAGACTCTTGTGCTGAAAAAAATAATTTACTGGAGATCCCATGTTATGTCCGACTTCATGAGCGAATGTGAGCTCTGAGATACGTGGTGGGACACGTTTGCCGTAGTTGAGTAGAGTAACCACTCCCGTATTAAGACTTTTTTTGACATCAATAGCACCTTCCCTGTAAGATTTGTGTCTTTCACATACGCCACCTGACGATGCTACAAGTAAATATAAATATTGTTTGTGGTCGATATAAGTACGTAAAATTATTTCGACTCAGGAAAAAATACCTTTATAATTTTTTTTATCAGGTCCTATAAGATTGATAAGAACTCTCTACTGCGCTACACAAAATCATGTGTAAGTTCGTTTTGCCTTGACGTCAAAGTTCATTTTGTCATAATAAGTTATCTCTACCATGATTGATAATTTTAAATCTTTGAATTATTGATCTAAATTCTATTAAATGTACAATGAATGAATTCAAAATAAAATTGAAGAATTAAAAAAAAAACATTCAATAAATTTTTTTCTGTCAATCGGCGGATGTGACCGGTCAGGGGATACTTACTACTTGCAAATTTTGTATTAGTTAATGGACATTTGATCTTTAATACAACTTTTCGTAACCTTTATATATTTCATGGACAGTTTTCTGCTTTGCTTGTGAACGTATTTATATCAAATAGGTTTTGAGATAATCATTTATTATACCTGTGGATGACCCGACCCATGCTAGTCCCAGCGTCCCTTGTAGAAAATCTCGGTAGGTAAAGGTGTAGGCCAGACAGAAGTCGTCATGATTAGACAGAGAGTGAAGATTGAGGAAGTTACTGACGTCTAGATTCCCCTGACAGAACGCCGTCTTCTGGAGGGCATTGTTACAGTTCTCCGTGTTGTCTGTCATGACCTGAAAAATATAATTATCTTATTTCAAAGGTGGTAAAAACATTTGTTAAAAAAAACTCAAAAAGCTCAGCAAAACATTAATGTAAAATTTTATTTAAAAATCAGCTCCCAATCTATATATGGTAAAGAAATTGCATAAATCAGATGTGAATACCCCCAAAAAGTCCAAGGAACTTTTAGACAAATTGAAATCACAAGATTCTACCAAAATCAACAGCTTAAAAAATTACGACTTTTCAAGTTTATGCACTACCATTCCCCGCGATAAATTATAACGTCCAGAATTTACGATATCATTGACAGCTGCTTTTTCAATAAAAATTGAACTCTTAAATTTACTTACCTTGTAATTGGTCATTTACTAAATTATTTTATTAAGAATAAACATTCTGATCGTACACACAGGTACTCTGAAGTCGATATCAGAGAGATGCTTGAGTTTTTGATTGAAAGTATCTATGTTGTTTTTGGTGACCAGATCTTCAAACAATCTATTGGAATTCCCATGGCTACCAATTGAACTCGTTAGTTGTTCCTTTTTTTAGCTGACCTATTTTTATATTCATATAAAGTAGAATTTGTGCAAAATCTTGTTCGTGAAAAGAAGAAAACACTTGCTGCGGCCTTCAACTCGACATTTAGATATATCGGCGACGTTTGTCAATTAACAACTATTGGGTTTGAGATAAACATCTGTTTCATTTTTGGATATTTTACTTGAAAAAGCAGTCAGTGGTAATCCTATGATAAACGCGATGACCTTAATTTTTCAACTCAAATGATTCGATACGCAAGAGCATGCTCTGCCTATGAACAATATCTAAAACGAGTAATATCACTGACGAACAAGGTGATGAAACAAGAATATCTGCAGTCTTGTTTAAAGTCATAATTTCTTAAGTTGCAAGGTCGATACAATGACCATGTCAGCAAATACAATTTATCATTAAGTCAAATGTTGACTGACATTTTTCACACTAACTGTTAGTCCATTATTTATACACTGAATTGACGGCGGATTTTTCCGTTATTTCCCGATCCTGACAATTAGGAGCACATGGTGGGTGTGACCGGTAAGCAGGGGATGCTCACTCTTCCATGGCACCTGATTCCACCTCCGATATTTTAAATGTCAAGTTTGCTCTGCTCCTATTTTGTATTGTTTAATGGACTTTGATCTTGAATGCTGTTCGTTTTCTCCATGTGTTTCTTAAAGCATTTTGTTGGGAATATTTGAAAAAAAAAATGAAAAATATCAACAGAATGAAAATGATGCCTTGTTTAAAATTCTTTTTAGGCGAGGTCTTCAACTGAAGACATTTTTATTAATGAAATACAACCACCCAACATGAAATACTATACAGATAAAGGAGGTAAACTGGGTCATACTAGAATAGTTCGTTCTAATATTACACCATAGATACGCCTTCAAGTGGAATGGTTTTCTAATCCATTGTAAAAAGATTTGAAAAAGACATCTTTTTATCTGTTTTAAATCTAAACAGATTTGGATATTTTACATTTATGATGATCAGTCTATCAAATAACAACGATGTTACCAAAAAAAAAAAAAAGACCAAGCACAGAGGTTTAAAAGACGACCAGTATTTTAACATTAAATATTAAACATTTAAAACATATAATGGCAGACTTTCAATGTTGTAAACGGAGAGTTTAGAAATAAGACAAATCCTTTTTTACAATTAAATGATAAGTACAAATCTTATTTACCGTTGTCCGCTGGATTTGAAATTGAACGAAACAAGGGATTTTAGACGTGGATTTCAGTCTTGTTCGGCGGAAAATTTCATTCAATGCGTTAACATGGCTGCTGAATAAGGATAGAATTTCGTTTTTGGCTGCGATTTCATTCTGAAAATAAATGTTTATATCAACTCCTTAAATAGCTGTGAAATGATCTGTATGATATGACGTTTAACATTTTTTAGAAACATTGGCCATCTTTCACCCAAAAACGTTTCAGACTGTTAGATTTATTGCTGTTTTTAGCAATGTAAAAACATAATTTCAGTCAATAATCATAAAAGAAATATTTTTTTATCAATAAGATGAGAGGTGATGAGAATTACATTGTTGCCAAGATCGGCGTTGAATTTGTTGTATAATACTGGGTCTGATCTCAGGTACAGGTTACAGGTGTTAGGTAGTGAGTTATCACAAGTTTCCTCTGCGGCCGCCCGTCTTCCTCGAGTCGTGGGATCGTTGATCTCTGAAGAATACTTGTTGTGGTTTTCCCTATGGCTGTAGTTAATCTAAACATGTTATTCAAAACGTTTTAAATAACTTTCCTTAGACATCATGCTTGGAATATTTTTAGCTTATGTAAATAGAATGCAAAGAAGCATGTCACATGACTGCATAGATCACGTGATTTGTACATGTACAGAATGTTGGCAGAATGTTGGCAGATGTCAATTTAAGTCGGAGCGGACAATTTGAATCAATTAAGTCCACTAAAATCTCACATTTTAATTGTTTTATGTAAGTTATTCAATTAGTTCGCGAACTTCTTGATCACCCCTAGTATATATGTACTAAAAAATCAAAATAGTAGATTCTTAATTGGTTGATATTTTTTGTTCTTATTTTGGTATAAAAATAATACAAGCTGTATAAAGTAAATCATTTACGCCAGGAATTAAATAAACTAACATTTACTAAGTAGGTGCCAAGAGGCTAAAAAAATACATGTACATTTTCTAATTTTCACGTAATTTGTAGGAGGAACATGGCATGTAGATAATTCATAAAATTGCATACAGTATAATTTCATGGCAACGTCAAATACAGGTGATTCTTAGCCATAAATGTCACTTTAAATAATTTATATTAAGGAAGTTTATCACACTAAACTGTGAAGTATTTGATTATAAAACTCGATATCAGTTTATTACTTAGCATCGAAATCTATTGAATAGAGCACTATTATTTCATTGATTTCTATCGAATACTCACCCGTTTTCTACGTAAATCAACCTCAGTCTCGGTTTGGTGGAGCATCCATTCATGATATTTGTCAACAGCGCAATTTCCTGTTCCGGCCTTTATACCTTCTGTGTATCTTTATCAAAATGGAAAAATATAATATGTGATAAGATGGTGAAAAATGTACTCATCTTTGGCAAAATATATAACCATATTCTCTTTTAAAAAAGTCTGTCAAACAGTTACATTTTAGAACATTTATATTATTTTCTTTATTTTAGCGATAGGAGCAAAATCATGAGAATTACTGGTATGGGTTTAAGACAAGGTGTTCTTCTTTATAAATTACAGAGTGGTAGAGTAATTTCTGTGCTTGGTTGAGACCGTAGAATCTGTACGCTGGTTCAACGTGGTACAACGTGTCACCTGGAATACTAATTGTCCCCCGGAAAATCCCCAGAATCACCGCTCCATGAACACGACTCCCAGGCTCATCTAAAAAAAAAAGAAGGGGGTGGATTCAAATGTAAAAAAAAAACAAAAAAAACAAAAAGGACATCGATAGCTATATATAAACTATCCTTTAGGTTCTAATAAGATATGTGAGAATAATGGTCTGTATTAGATATTAAACATCATGATAAAATATAATAACTTAAATTGAATCCTATTGACTTCCACTTAATATTAATGTGTTAGAAAATTAAAAGAGTCTCTTATAATAAGCGCACACAAACTCCTTTTAAGTAACAAAAATTAATAGTTCATATAGTACATAAGAGATAATGAAATAAAAGACATTGCATTGAATTACTTCAAATGATGGTATTATTCTCAAACAACCTGCAAGGAATTATCTATTAAGTAACCCTTATACTCGAACACATTACAAGTAGTACGCATATTTAGTTTTCTTTATTGAACATGTTTCTCTCGGTTGATTCGATACGCAAAATCATGTTCCAAGTATGTACATTTTCTACAACGAGGTAAATTATTGACAAACGAGTAAGAGAAACAAGAATATCAACAGTCTCCTTTCAATGCATCATATTAGTTCATGTTGGATTCAATGACCATGTCAGCAAATACAATTTATGATTGAGTCAATGCTGACTGACATTTTTCATACTAATTGTTACATGTAATACATTATTTACACACTGAATTGACGACGAATTTTCCCCGTTATTTCCGAATCATGACAAGGAGTACATATATCTCCTTATATTTATTGAGGATTACAAAAATTATTCAAGCTCAGATGTCCATAAAATAGACGTCATGCAAAATAGGAGCGGACAAAATACGGACCTTCAAACCATCAGAGGTGTGATCAAGTGCCATGTAAGAGTAAGCATCCCTTGCCGACCGGCCACACCCGCCGTATGGTCCTTGTCATAACACGAAAGATATTCATGAGTCTCATCTGAATGACTTCTCAGCTATGTTAAGGACAGATATGGAAAATGTGATCTTAGTCTTGACAAGGAGCACGCGGCGGGTGTGACCGGTCAGCAGGGGATGCTCACTCCTCAATGGCACCTGATCCCAACACTGATGTCCCGGATATCCGTGTTTGCTCTGCTCCTATTTTTATTGTTTTATGGGCTTTGATATTGAATACTGTTCGTTATCTCCATATCCTCCTTACAAAACAGATATCAGGTGTGAATAACTTGAACATATAGTCAACTTTATGAATGATTTAATTGTATCCAGAACGCCATACCTAATACTGATCCCTCATAAATAAAAGAAAGATTCACTAAATCTTCCGTCCCGTTGCTGTGGGTGGATCTAAAGTTTTTGGTAAAAACGGAGGTGGAAGGCTTCAAATTTAAATGGAATGATCTAAAGAAAATAAAATTGATGACCATAACCATCTCTCAATAAATGCAGTGATCGTTTAATACTAGTATAGAAAACAGATAAAGATAAACATCAGATTAAAATGGCTTGGAAATCGTCTTTTTTCCTATATTTTTAATGGTAGAACATTAAAACAGAAGGGACGAAATTAATAGCTCCCCAAGTTATATTGTAAAAACTGGATTAGAACTGTTTACGCTTTTTATAAACCTTCTTGTGGTTTCTGAAGCGTAAATTGCCCTAACCCAGATTATTCGTATAACTTTGGAGCTATTGAATTAATTCATTAATCAATACTACATATAGATGTCGAATACTGAGTATTTTTGAAGTCTGAATGATAAATCTTTAAATTGGTAATGTACATATAGCAACATGTTTTTATTACCTAATTACTCAAAAATCTAAATCCATTAAAGTGTCGAATGTTTACTTTTATGGTATATAAACCATAGAATTTCCGTACCTGTTATGAGCTGTAAATCTAAGTTCCAGTGTCTTGTTTTGTGTCGACCTTTTTGTCCTCAAGTGTTTGTTGTGGAGCTCCTGTGTGTCATAATTCAGTTTGTCATAATACTTTATGTAGTCGTCTATTGGTGCTTGTTTTATGTCTGAAGTTGTTTAAAATTAAACAAACCATAGATTTTTATTTATGTCATATAATATTTTTTCTGAAAAACTATTGTTAATTGAAAGTACATACTTTTTGTATGCTTTAGTAGTACAACAAAACCCCTTTTTCAGTTTAAAATTGTCAAACAGCTGTTATGGGTTGATCTATTGATACACTTAATTCATATAACAGATGATAGATTCAAATCCGAAGGAGTTCTGAATCAAAAATGTTGAAAAGGTATCATAAAAAAATCATTATTATGAAGTTTTTTTAGTTTTAATTTTTGTATTAGTATTTGAGAACGATTTTTATTCATATTTTTCTTGAGGGCATTTGAAAAGAAGAAGAATCCGCCAAATTACCTGCTAAACACTGTACCAGAAGTAAATAAAGGAGCAAAGATTTTTCAAAAATCTGCATCGTTTTAATGAAGAATATTTTAAAACGAGAAACGAAGAGTTGAAGAATTCTGTAAAAAAAAAAAAAAAGAAATTGATTTTGTTCATGAATCACTCCTTGCTAGTATAAATCATACTAAATATTCCAGTTGCAGTAGACATATGATTACCCGAAAAAAATAATAACTTCATTATCAAACTGACGGGAAAAAAACTAGATGTTGATTGAAATGTCACGAATGAATTAATTAACAAGTGTGAAAAAAGGTGAAAATTAAAATTCTTTACAAACCTCAGCTAATTCTTGAATGCTACTTCCTTTTCTAAAACTTTTCTTTAGTAAAAGTTAAAACATGACTGTTCAAGACAAATAAAGTTGACAATCATTGGAGTGCAAACAATCGTAAAACACATTTAAATGTTTCAAATGTGCAGGTAACAACTAACAAAGAAATGAATATCGGCAATGTTATATCTGTCCTAAACAATACTACGTAGGATCAAGACGGATAAATACCTCCATCTAACAAAACTGTTTGTATCGGATATTGTATCAGTCAAGCTAAATCTAATATTTCATTTGACATGTGTAACTTAATAGACACAGTTTTTAAAGATAAAAATCAAACTTTTTCCCCTATTTTCAAAGAGTTTCTGTCCTTTTTTGTTTCTTAACGAGAATTCTGCTAAAATGCTGACCTATAGCTACCGTGCTATTATAAATATTGGACATTTGCGTTGTTTAGGTTTTAGATGATCAGATATGATTGTGCCCATGGGAAAAGGGTGCTTATGGCAATTTTTACACATTTTGAGTTTTTCATGAATTTTGATAGAACAAGGTTAGGGGTTGTTAAAAGTGAATTTTTATGGTTCTTTTTCAAATCAATGAATGTTTTTTTTTTCATCGTTTATATCAGTGATATTTTAACAGTAAAATCATGACGTCATGTTACGTTTGCATCAGTGTTAAACATTGATTATAATTTAACTGCAGCTTTACTATTATATAAATGTAAAGAATATTTTTTTTATTATTATATCTTTTTAAAATAGTTGTTATAAATAGTATCCATCAAAGGTATAGAAACTTTTTCTCTCATCTATTTCAAATGGTTGCTATTAGTATTATCCAATCAATGCATGATATACGTGTTGTTTGTTTTACGCTTCGCTCATGTTGGGACGACAGAAAATTTACATCTCATAAGGTGCAACTTCCGGGCAGGAATTGTTTTGTAAATACACAGGATTAGTTCGAGAGTCATTACATTTTAAATAAGGCAACAATTTTGTTGTTTGATCTTATAAATCTGTAACATCTTCCCAAATGTGGAAAGGAAAAAAGGAATTGTCTCCGGGAACGACAGTACACTAGAATCTAACCAATTGTGTAAAATAAATTTGTTTTTCTTAAGGTCAAGATCTAGTAAATGAAAGGTGCCTACAGATATATCACATTTAAGAAATAAGTTCCTTTTACGATGCATTATAACTGTAGCAAGGTCAATAAGGTGTTTCGGGGCATAGTTTATAGGAAAACAAGATGAAAAATCATATTTTAAACTGTCATTTCCATTGAAAAATTAAGGAAACCAGTCATGAATATGGGATTTTTTTTCCATGTCGGACAAAGAAAATGAATCCAGATTGCCTACATTCTTTCAGAAAAGAATAAATTGTATGTTCATGGCCTCTTCATTAAAATGATGTTAAATTTAATATGGTATCGGTACTACTTTTCATGTAATTTCAAATTGATTTCCATGAAATTACTTTATTTTCTACAAAATTCTATTAGAGCGGTAAAGTACGGAAAAAGAAAATTTAACGTGATTATGACATCATAATGGATTTAGCACTAATAATGATTTAGCAATAATCAAAAAGTTAGTCTAAAGACATTTACTAGATCTTGACCTTAATATAAACATGATGAAGACAACAAGAGGCCCAAGGGCCTTGAATCGCTCTTCTGATAAATTGTACAATCTATCACTTCTACTTGGAGCCTCTAACCTTAAGTATTCTAAGATCCAAGTTGTATCAACTGACAAAGTCTGATGATTCTTAGCCAATTAGGACTGAAAATATTTTTAATAATAAAGCTATAAAAAACCATAAGTACATCACAGTGACCTATATTAAGACTGAAGTTTTCTGAGGACTCAAGATGTATTAATAAACAAAGATTGAAGATTCTAAGCCGATAAGTATTTGAGATATTTAAAAGTAGGTCACCGTGACCTACTTTTTTGTCTACATCCTTTGAAAACCCAAGATACATCAACTGACAAAATTTGATGATTCTAAGCCAAAACGTACCTGAGATATTCAAAAGTAAGTCACCATGACCTACTTTTTGATCGACATTCTCTAAAAACCAAAGATGCATCAACAAACAAAGTTTAGTGATTCTAAACCAGTTAGTACCACAGATACTTAAATAAAGCCATAAAATGTCAAAAATTAGGTCACTGTGACCTAATTTTTAGACATCATTCTCCAAAAAACCAAGATGCATCAACTTCCAAAGTTTGATGATTCTAAGCCAATAAGTACCGTAGATATGAAATAAAGCCATAAAATGTCAAAAGTAGGTCACCGTGACCTACTTTTTGGTCGTCACTCTCCGAAAACCCAAGATGCATCAACTCACAAAGTTTGATGATTCTAAGCCAATAAACACCTAAAATACTAAAATATAGCCATAAAATGTCGAAAGTAGGTCACATTGACTTACTTTTGGACATTATTCTCCGAAAACCCAAGATGCATCAACTTACAAAGTTTGATGTTTCTAAGCCAATAAGTTTGATGATTATAAGCCAATAAGTACTGTAGATACTTCAATAAAGCCATAAAATGTCAAAAGTAGGTCACCGTGACCTACTTTTTGGTTGTCACTCTCCGAAAACCCAAGATGCATCAACTCACAAAGTTTGATGACTCTAAGCCAATAAATACCTAAGATACTAAAATATAGACATAAAATGTCGAAACTAGGTCATCGTGACCTATATTTTGGTCGACATTTTTTAAAGTCACAAGATGCATCTGCTGACTAAGTTTGATGATCCTAGGTCTGAAGGTAATCAGAATATGCCTTTTAAACAATTCGAAAACAAATGCCTGCAAAATTCAAAAAGTAGGTCACAGTGACCTACAGTTTCATAAATATGTTTTAAGGTCCCAAGATGCATCAATTTACAAGATTTGATGATTCTAAACCTCTCAGTGTCTGAAATAATTGGATTAAATGTTTTAAAAAGAATTAGTCATAAAGTTCAATAAGTAGGTCACGGTGACCTACTTTTAAGCTGACAGTGTTCAAGGACCCAAGATGCATCAACTGACAAAGTTTGATGATCATAGGCCTTAAAGTGCCCAAAATATGCCTTCAAATCAACTTGAAAACAAATGCCCATAAAATTTGAAAAGTAGGTCACCGTGACCTACTTTTGAGTTAACATGATGTAAAGTCCTGAGATGCATCAACTTACAAGATTTGATGATCCTAGTCCTGATAGTAAGCAAAATATAAACGTTTTTATTATTTGTAAATTTAGGTCAACTTTAAAGTGACCTTGAGACCACGCCCTTTGCCCGAGGGTCATGCCTTGAACAATATTAAATCTTCAACATATCCTGATTTTTGTATATAAGTTTGGAGAAAATCTGCCTGGTGGTTCTGGAGAAGATTTTTTAGCAACCAGTACTTTTGGTTTTGTTTTCCTGATTATCTCCCCTTGTTTAAGGGTCTTAACCCTTATTTTAGTACAAAGGGTAGCCTTTGGGCCAAGGATACCCTGTGACAAATTTGACACTGATTGGAAAAGGGGTTCTTGAGTTATGGCCCATATTCTAAAAAGTTAACGCACATCGCACACCGCACAAATGGTCATAGCATTAGCTCTTTGAGCCTTTGGCTCAGAAGAGCTAAAAATTGTGAAATGCAATTATTTACTTAATATACACTACAATAATTTCAAGGACAATAATTTGATACACTGTACGAGATACATTGCATGTTGAGCAATACTCCATAAAATGTTTGTAAAAACAATTGGAAGGACCTCTGTCTTGCATATGGTAATAAAATTTTCACTTTCATTGAAGCAATACCCCTTCCAATCCCAACATTGAAGATTTTTTTTATCATTTACTCATAAAACATGCCGTTACTCACATGCATGGAATAATGTAGTGTCAGTTCCAAGAATTTTGGTTATGATAATTATGTTAGGGTATGATGTGGGGTGGAGGGGGTAGTGTAAAAAAAAAGGTAAATGACATACCTCTATATGTAGTCAACATGAGGTTATCGGCAGTTTATTCACAAGCTTTATTTAGGTAACACCCCCCCCCCCCCCCGCACATAACTAAATACACAACCCAGTTAGACTGAAAAAATATTCTTCAATTTATTTTCACGTCCTGTGTATGTCTTTTCAGATGATAATTATAAACAATGTCGTTTTCATAAACATTCAAGGATCAATTACTGTAAACCAACTTTTATTCGCGGATTTTCGCAGGTTCGCGATTATTGAGCACCGTCTCTTTTTCTATGCCCTTGCGTAAAATTAATCGTCTTTACGCCCGGTAAACTTAAAAGTACTGAGAACTATATCAACGAGTGAAATGGAACCGAAGTGTAACTTACATTGAAGTGATGTAATTCCGAGCATTTTGGTTATGATAAAAAAAAAAAGTTAATCCGAATTCTGTTTCATTGTGAAATTGATTAGTCGACCTATTCATTAATTTTAATCAAATAAATTTGCGCGCGATCAGAAATAATTTTATGTATTGTTTTAATAAACCGCGCTGTTTAATTTATAGTAAAAGATTAATTCAGTTTAGATAAGCGTCTATTACATTTACGTTATATTTCCTGATTGGCCGAATGCTGAAAAGATGGATTTTTGCAAAGGGGTACATTTAGCTAGGTATTCTGTTGTTTATTGGCGTCAAAAACAATTTAAGAATTTCAACGATTCTTCCTCCTTCACACTTTCTCTCTCGAATGATATTCTAATGTACGATGTGTCGATGTTT